GGCTTCTTGTTCTATATACTTTGCACTTTCTTGTGTCTAAAATCCTGCATTCTAGAGACATCTACTTGCACAGGGTCTGCTCTTCCCAGGGAAAACATGGTCTTCCCAGTCAACAGGAGGTTTCCCACTATGTCAGCTGGGGTAATACAACAAAACAAGCCTTCATTCCTCTCTACTGCCCCACTGAAGCCTTTAAGCAGATCAAACCACAAAACGACACAGCAAATAGTAAAAAAAAAAACAAACCCAAAGACCAGCCAAATAATATTTTAGAAACACAGAGCAAATAGTAAAAAAAACAACCAAAGACCAGCCAAATAATATTTTAGAAATGGAGAATGCCTGATGTTTTCTCAACCATTTTTTTAAAGAAACAATGCAGCAATAATAAATGCAGAAGTTTGTACTGGGAAAAGGTTTTTTGCTTGAAAAAAAGTGAAAGTATTTTGTTTGGTTTGGTTTTTTTATTTCATGTATATTTTTTAAAAAAGTTTCTCCATTTGGGGGAAACCTAAATTAATGTATTTTCCACTGCAGCTGCTGGACCAAAGATGTCTGTTACTGCAGCTTCACTGTACAAAATCACACCAAGACTGTGCAGAATCTTGCTACAGCACATTCTCTGCCAGGTACATTACCCTTGGACATTGTGATCTGTACATAAGTGGTCAAACTTACAGAAAGTCTTCCAGAAAACATGCCAGACAAGGAGCACCATCACTTCCTTGCCACTAGGGAGATACATGTCATGATCTCACAGTGGTGAAAGAAAAGAATATAGAAAAGAGAATAAGTACACCTGTATAGAGCCTGCACCTCAAGAAAACAATAGCTTCAAATATTTCAGGGTTATCCCAAAAGTGTCTTCAAAACAGTCAAATTTAAGTCATATATTTCACTCGGCAGCTCATGGAGATAATTTTTAAAGCTGCAGTAATAAAAACAACCTGGAAAGATGTATTATTCGATTAAAATGGCAAGAAAAATATATTCCTGCAAGAAATAAGACAATGCATTGCAGTTGACATCTGAGTTTTCAAGAGCAGATCATAGAGTAATCAAATTCAATTTTATAACGATTCATGAAATGTAAGTTATGTGCCAGATCCTGCACCTGTAGAAATGAAAAACAAGCTCCCATTTCCATGTGCTCTCCAAACCACAGACCAGAAACTCTGATTTTATGCCTCAGAAAATGCATTTGTTTCATTCTCTAATGTTTTTGGTGCAAATGTGCCAGCATACTTCTGTGCTCTGCTAGAAAAATCGATATTCACTGAGATACCTAAACAATTCCTTTAGAAAGAACACATGCAGTTACATTCCCTCCACCTTACCCATGCTGTTCCTGGCCTTTGTAGACGTGCGCTTCAAAATTTCACGTACCTGTGGAAAAAAAAAAGAGTGGGATGACACAAATTCTCTTTTAGCATGACTTTCATCATGGAGCTAGCAAAACCCAAAGCTTTAAAACAGGAGGTTTCTGTAGGATTCATTTGCACATATATTTAATTCATTTTAGCAAGTTTTACTAGTGGATTATCTGCCCTAACATATGTAGGTGAAATCCTGCTGTGTCTCAGCCTTATAAAAGTATATGAAGTGTAAGGACTTTATGGAATAAAATCTGGTTGAAGACTAGAAACAGGGTGTAAACCAGCTTTGAACAATGGAGAGGAGTCAGTAGTTTCCCTTCATAGCATTCCTTACTCCTGAACCACATTACAGCTCCAGAACGGGAATTTCTGACGTATCTATGACTACTCAGTGTTTTGTAAGAACAGAGAACTACATAAACTGATGAAATTAGAAAAGTAGCTACCAACACTCACTAGTAAAGCAAATCCCATTCAGCATAAGATGACAATGATGTGTCACTTTTGTTAACTTACTATTCGGCTGCGGGTAGCGTTGTCAAAAAAGGTGTCTTTGTCTTTGATGTTATATCTGAAACATCGAGAGAGGAAAAAAGATCAGTTCTGTTTTAAGACATGGAAGTAACAAGTCAGATAACATATAAGATTCTAATTAGAATTCATTTAGAAGGCACAGCAAGTAAGAAAAACAGATATTTAAAGGAAATCTAGATGACGTAGTACAGCATAATGGACTGTGCTATTTAAGACTCAGTCACTCAGAGTTCTACCTGGATTGCAGGGATGGTGGGCACAAAAATGCAAAGTTATTAACTAACACAAAATGCCTTTTGCCTAAGAAGAGCCTGTCTATTGTTTACAGAATATGACCTTGTAATATTTTTCTTATAACATCCCCTCAACACTGTAACATTTTGAGGTGATGTTATTGGGTTTCAACCAGCCTAATGAAGAGGTTCATTATTCTTTTCCAGGCAACTAACCAGTCAGCATTTCACTTGCTTTCAAATAACCATTCCACTGGAGTTATGACTTCCCTTAAACCTTAAAACCAACATATATGAAATTAGCTTCCCAGTTTATTCTCCCCCATCAATTTGACTTGCATTCAGAATTAATTAAAATTGTCAGAGGGCAATAAATGATATGGTGGGTCACTGTATTTATTATCAATTTTTATTTATCAGACATAAATACAAGGAGACAACCATTAGGAGAAAAAAAGGAGTGTTTAATGTCAAACTGGGCCCAGAAATATTATTCTGAGTGAAAGGGCAGGTGTCAAGGATTCCTTATCTGCATATTATTAGCCTAGTTTTAATTACTATAATAAATCTATCGAGGGAAAATATTGTCGTATTTCTACTAGCTCTTTCTTTTTTCCAAACAAGCAGTAATATCCTTAACCAAATAACCAGGAATTTGGTGGTAGGATTTTTATATTTCAAGTTAAAGACATGGCTATTTTATTTGGTACACTGCTTCCGGTGCTTTATCCAGCAGAAGGAAATAGAACACAGGGAGAAAGTCTCTGAAACTTAGATTTCTGTTAATCCACTGACAACTTGGATATTTCCTCAGGATTTCCAGAAACACTCAATACATTTCTGAATTTTGACTGAAATATGGGTAGAAATAGATGACGACACTAAAATGATAAATTATAGTATTCTTCATGGTTCATCACAATTTAAAGTACTCACAAATATATTTTCTCTCTGGAAAATGGGTAGGACAGGTTTTTCATCTTGGTGTTTTCTTGTTGTGGCACCTGGGGTTGCAGAGGTTCAGTCAATTTGCACCATATTTCATTTAACGTTTTGAGTACTCCCCCTTCTTCTCTGATTTCATACATCTGAGTGAATAAAACTGCACATTAGCATGTCCCTTCCAAAAATCCACTAAAATGAAGAGAAAAAAAAGAATTTATTATACATATCTGTTTAAACCTGTAATTAAAATCAGTGCTTTCTCAGAAGACATATTTCCATACAATAGCAAGCACCTGAATCCATAGGAGTTGCAGTTCCAAAATGTTCCTCACCTTCACAAACTTCTTCCAGAAAAAAACTCAGCGCAGTGTTGTTAATACAAGAAATATCCCTACTAACTAAACTAGGAGCTGCAGGGAGATGACAGAAAGGCAGAGTCATTATTTTGGCTTTGTAACTGGAAATAAAGGGAGCAAACAAAGCAGGAAGAGCCTTTACCTGCTGCCAATTGTACTGTCAGAGCAGAACAAATCATTTGGGAGTGATAATTGCTAGTATGGTCTGACAGCACTTGAACACATGCCACTAGAAGTGAGGATGTCAGGCTCATGGCTATGGAGCTGTTCCAAGAGAAAGGATCTTTCACTGATACAGATTGATTTGAAATGCCTGAGCTTCTCAAAGATATGAAGGTATTTCTTCCTGAAACACAGACAACCTCCCCAAACATGAGTTTATGCCCTTCTCACGAGACAGCCCTTCCACCAGCTTGGTTGTCTTCTGGACTCATTCAGGGACCTTCGTGTCCTTCTGAAATTGTGGGGCTCAGAATTGCACACAGCACTCATGGTGAGCCTGCTCCAATGCTGAGCACAGCAGGATGATCCCATCTCTGACAGGCTGGTGATGCTGTGTTTGATGCACACCAGGATGGGGTTGCCCCCTGGGCTGCCAGGGCACACACTGCTGACTCACATTAATCCTGCAGCCCCACATCCCTCCAGTCACTCCTCTCCCAGTTTATACTTGTGCCTGTCAGAACCCAGCAATACTTCTTGTTGAATTTCATGCTATTGAATATTGCCTGATACTCCAGTCAACCTAGATCCCTCTTCAAGGCTTCTCATCCCAACTGCACCTTCCATTGTCAGTAAACTTATCAATGGTGCATTCAAAGCCTGCATCCAGGTCATTGATATAGATACTGGACAGAACTGGCCCAAGAATTGATCCCTGAGGTCATCAGCCAAATGCAGACCCTTCTATTACAACCCACTGAGCCCTGTCCTTCAACCAGTTCTTCACCCAGTGCTCCATGTACCTGCTCATCTCACAGTTAGACAGCCTATCCAGAAGGATGCTGTGAGGGACAATATCAAAGGCTTGACTAAAATCCAGAAAAAAAACCCAATTACATCTAATGCTTCCTCACCTTCCACTAGGCATGAAACATGATAGCAGGATATAAAATTTTTCCCTTTGTGAAACCATATTGACTGTGCCTAATGAATGCATTGTCCTTTAAATGCCTTTCAATTGCACCTGGTATGATCTTCTCCATAACTATTGCAAGTACTGAGGTTACACTAACAGGTCTGTGGTTTCCTGGGTGTTCCCTCTTACCCTTCTTTGCTCATTATAATAACACTGGCTAGCTTCCAGTCAGCAAGTACCTCCACAGACTCCTGAGACCTTTGGCAAATGATTGAAAGAGGCTGGGCTAAATACTTCAGTACTCTGGGATGATTTCACAAGACCCTGTGGACTTATGAACATTCAGCTGATACAGACAGTCCCTTAGAAAGTCAGTGTTCACAAATGGAAAGTCTTGGCTCCCTCACAGTTGTGATCCTCTGACTCAGAGGACCAGGCAGCCCAAGGTAGATCAATGATATTAAAGACTGAGGCAAAAAAAAGAATTGCAGGCCTCCACTTTTCCTTCATCCCTATTTGTCAGGTGATTATCTTCAACAAGTATTGGTCCAATATTTCCCCTAGACCTCCTCTTGCTATTAACATAATTTAGAAAGCCATTTTTTTGTATGATACAACACTGGCCAGTTTCAACTCTAGATGAGCCTTTCATATTTTCTCCCTGAATATGTGAACCACAGCTCTGTAATCTTCCTTGTTTCTAGAGATGGTGCAATTTCTTTTTGTTCTTGATTTCCATGAGGAGTTCCCAGTTCATGGGACTGGACTTCTGCTCCACTTGTTTGGCTATGACATGCTGGGCACTCATGGACCCCTAAGCCCTCAAAAGCAGATTTCCAGGAAACACTAACTAGCTTCCTGTGTGGCTTTAAGTTTGCTCTCTTGAAATCTAGAGTAACAATTCTGCTGATCTTTTCTGTCATTAAACTGAATATTTAAAATTCGACCATTTTCTAAGCAATGTAGCCAAGTCATCCTTCTACTATGGTATCTCCCACAAGTCCTTCTCTAGTTACAAGTATCAAGTCTAGGAGGGCACCTTTCCCAGCTGGCTCACTGAATCCTTGTGATGAGTTACTGTCTTCAGCACACTTCAGGGATTTATCAGATTTGCTTATCACAGCAGTACAGTATTCCCAGTTAATGTATGGAAATTTGAAATTTCCCATAAGGTCAAGGGCTGACTAAATCAAAAGTTTCTCCTAGTTGCCTGATAACAATTCATCAGCCCTGTCATGCTGGCAGGGTGAGCAATACTAAATACCCACAACATCTGCTTTGCTTTCCATCTCCCTAATCCTCCCCCAGAAATTTTCAGCCATATAATCCTCCAAGGGCTGTGCAGACAGATTTTTACCTTACATACAGTACAACTCTCCACCTCTCCATCTCTGCCTATCCCTCCTGAACAGACCCTTAGCCTCCATCCTAGCACTCCAGTCATGGGACTCATTCCCTCCAGGTTCACTAATGCCAGAGACATCACAGCTCTGGGAATGGAGGAATGCTCCCAGTTCTTCCAGTTCATTTCTCATACTGTTTGTTTCATATACTCGTATTTGAGTGTGGCCCAATCTCACTCACCAAAAAAAATCTGTATTATCCAGAAGTTTATATAGAGTTACAAGGGCTCAAAAGGTACCTCTTCCCAGCATGTCCTGTGTCCTTATAGATGATTTAAGACTGAACATTTGAATAAAAAAACACTTTTGCAACCAATTCATTGTGTTTAGAGGTAAATAAAAAATTTCCACTGTAGTGGGAAAAGCATTTTTATCACTTCATGGGATTCTTGAATATATAAAAATAACATCACATAAAATACCTAATGTGCCCTGAGAACAATGTTTTGTCTTTCTGAACAAAAATAGAATTTTCTTTTTAGTGGTTACTGGCTGAATTTTTCATTTTATATTGCCAAATTTCCAAAGTACAAGATTTCAGTTTTTCAAAGTTGATTCTTGTTTCCTTCAAATGAAATTCCTCTTCCAACTGTCTTCAATTGCAAAAAACCTAAGACATGAACATACTTTTCCTGTCAATTTTGCTTTCTTGTAGTGCACTGGTAGCACTGTCACTTGTGCATTAGAGATAACAGAAAAATAATGTAGTCAACAAGAATTGTCAGCAATCTTCTTAAAAATGTCATATCACTTTTAAGTTATACAAAATAGGGTGAACTTTCAGAAAAATTGAGATCTCTTTCCTAGTTGGTAGACATATTTCATTTCATATTCTGGTACACACCAAAATAAATTAGAAGTACAAACCTGATTACTGTTTTCATAACTGCTTAATCAAAGACTGCATGTTCATACTATTCAATAATCGTTGGTACCTAGCACTCCATCAGGAATTGTAGTGATAGGACATCACAGACTTTAGAGAAGACTTCAGGCAATGACCAGCTATCGTACTATCTTCCATACTACACCTCACCTTTGAGGAAAGTTCCTTGACAAAAATCCAAAAAGTTACTGCCTTCTCAGCTTTCAAACCCCTCCTTAAAACTCACCTCTGTCATCACTCTTCTGAATGCAGACTGTCAGCCAGCTGCCTTTGTGGCCTTTGAAAATCCTTTGGAAATCCCATCTTAAAAATTATTCTGGATAGTAAATCATCTCAAAATATTTAGTAATGTGAAAGAACCAGTAACAGCTCATTCACTCTGATTTTTTGAAATCAAGTAACTCCATGGCCTTCTGTACATTTAACTGCCATCCTGATCCCCCTTCCTTCAGTCATACAACTTGTTGATAGGAAATGGAAGATACTTACCTTTTTAGTGGGCATTTTTATTTTAAGGATTTCTGCTTCTCGACTAAGCACTTGCCAAGGTGCATGTATACGGACAAAACTCAATCCTTGGCTCTTATTCTGAAACATAAAAAAAAGTGAAAACAATGTGCTAAGTATTACTGAAGAGACCACAGTAATAACGTTGCAAGATGTCAGCTCCAACTAAATCATTCAACAGTAGGCAATCACAGTGAAAAACCAACTTCTGTTACAACTGGGCTTCAAAGTGACATTTGCTTTAAAAGCTGAATCTTCTAATGTTCTGAAAGCCATTAATCTACTGCTTGCAGTGTAGCTGTGTGTGCATGGCAATGACAGAAGGCTACAGGTCCAGATTTTGGAGTCACATGAAAGAGAAACCCTCAAGCTACAGCTTTTTTGTGTATTGATATTTTATAAGCTACCTGACTTCTTTAGTGGGATTTTGTGTCCATCTCAACCAATAAAGAAAAAACACTTCTCCTGCTCTGGGTGGGCTTTGCTTTAGGTTTCCATTTCATTTTTGACCTAGTGCTTGCTGGATACTTCATCAGATTGGTAGTTCCTTACAGGGGTCAGGGACAACATTTATTGCCCTAAATATCTGTGGTTAGAGTAGCAACCCTAAACAAAACATGCAAATTTAACTTCTGAAGAGGAACATGAGCCTAATGTTTACGTAAATAACTGCTTAGCTGTGCAGGGGCATAAGACTGCAGGAGAGGGCTTTGCACAGCCAGTTTGCTGCAAGTTGAGCTGTTGAGAGGGTGAGGCCCTGGGAACACATCTGAGCTACACAGAGACACTCTGAGAGCAGAAAGCAGCTCCCCTGGAAAAAATAGGAAAACTAAATGTATGCAGATTGAGATACAGTTTTCCTCAATGCACACAAATAAATTATATCAGTAAATAATACAAATGAATTCTTACTGTGTAGATATAGGGAAGAACTGTTGGGAGAGAGAATAGAAAGAGAGTATCGGAGAAGTCTTAAGGTGATGGCTACCATGGTATGTCTCATACTACACATCACCTTTGAGGGAATTTTCTTGACACAAATCCAGATACCTACTGCCTTCTCAGCTTTCAAAGCACTCCTTAAAACTCATATCTGTCATCACTCTTCCGAATAGAGATGGTCAGCGCATATCCTTTTGAGAAGGATGTGGAAGTAGACACAGGAAGACTTTCAGGAAGAATTTCTTCACAGAAAAGGTGGTCAGGCATTGCTCAAGGAGGTGGTGGAGTCACCATCCCTGGAAGTGTTCAAGAAATGATGGGATGTGGCACTTAGTGCTACGGTTTAGCTGGCATGGTAGTGATCAGTCAAAGGTTGAACTCAATGATCCTGGAGGTCTTCTCCAAACTAAATGATTCTAGAATTCTGTGATTCAAAGTCTTAATTAATGCTAAGGTTAATGATCTTTTTGTAGCTGTGTAGTCACTGTTGCTTTGCATTTTCCCACCCATATATGTAAGGATCAGGAGAGCCCCCTCCATTCAGGGAAGCAGGAACCTCTATTTGCACTACCTCATATACCCTGAAATTAAGAAGTGAGACAAGAAAACTGAAGCAGCTTGTCCAACTTGATGAGAAACATAGCTGGGTCATGTGAAAGGCTTAAAATGCAGGAAGGAAATTGATCTGTCAGAGTGAGTCCAGAGGAGGCCACCAAGATGGTTAGAGGGATGAAACATCTCCCCTACAAGGAAAGGCTGAGATTGTTCAGCCTGGAGAAGTGAAGACATGGCCTAACTACAGCCTTCCAGTCCCTGAAGGAGCCTACAGGAGCGATGGAGAGAGACTATTTACAAGGGCCTGGAGTGACAGAATAAGAGGGAATGGCTTAAAACTGGTTTTAGGAAAGATTGGGATTAGGAAGAAATTCTTTCCTGTGTGGGTGATGAAGCACTGGCACAGGTTGCCCAGAGGACCTGTAGATGCCCCAACCCTGGAAGTATACAAGGGCAGGTTGGATGAGGCTCTGAGCAACCTGGTCTAGCAGAAGGTGTCCCTGCCCATGGCAGGGAGTTGGAATGAGATGATCTTTAAGGTCCCTTCCAACCCAGGCCATTCTGTGTTTCTTTGAAATGTTAGACTTGGGTGCCTCACCTGTGCATAGCTTCTATTATACAAACAAACAGTTGCATGTGTCTAGACAAAGAACATTAACAGACATAGCTTAAGGTCACTGTAATCAGCCTGACTCTACAAAGCTGGGAATTTAGGCCATATATATGGAAAAGTAGCATCTTCTGTTGAAAATTGACTCCAAGGAAGTTCCCTTTCTCAAAAGTTTTGAGTTAAGAGAAGTTTTAAACAGAAGTAACACAGTGTAAATGTATGTCTAAAACTAAAAGACCACTTAGCACATTTGCCTCAGGAAAGCCACTCCTCTCAATGAGTTTTTGTTTGTTTTGCATAAAATTTATATCAGTTTCCAAGGTTGTATTATGTCACATTGGCATCAACATTTTAGAATGAGTTTTTAATATTTTCAATGTATAAATGCTTACAATTTCACACAAATACCAAAGAAGCATTTGCTGAATGTTTTTGAATGCTTCCTGATTTAAATAAGTAAATAAATAAACAAATAAACAAATAAAAAAACTAGATGAAAATCCTACTATTCTTATTGCAATCATTTTGCCTTTATTTCCCTTATAGCTGCAACATGAACTTCGAAGATCACTATCTCACTTTCAGCTAACTTTTCTTCATTGCACCAAGGCTATTTTAAAGTGCAGAATGAGCTGCAGAATGTCTCTTTTATCAGCTCACTGGGGAAGTCAGCTTTAAGAGAAGGAAGTAAAAATTCACTGGGCATGAGCAGATGTTCTGGTAATCATTTGCTGAAAATAGATTAATAACAGATGAGAGTTTAAATTTCAGTGGGTGAAGATCAGGAGGTTTCTTGTCAGCTTTTGGCTAAAATCAAGCATGTGTCCTCTGTCTGGGGGACTATATTCCACATTGGCAAGAGGAGGGACAGTGTGATATAATTGGTTGTTTCCAGCTCAGGCTCATATGACTACACAGATTGCAAATAAAATCAGTCAAATAATTTGAGATAAAAGACCAGATGAAGAATATGACCTTTTACATTTGAACAACATTAATGTTGGAAAGTTGTGCTGTTCACGAAGTGATATCAGATGCTGAGGAATCAGATCATTAAAAATCTTTAAAAGTTTTAAAAATCATCGCATGATAGGAAATGGAGATCATTTTAATCAAGACTAAAGCTGAGTAAATAAAGTAGAGAAAACAGGACCAGGTGATTCCTGTTGCATGATAAACAAAAGAGGCAGAACAATGGATTGCTGAATATTCACTTGGGGATTACTAGAACCTTATCTCCCACTTCTTCCTTTATTTTCCTAATATAAAAATTTATCGAAGAAATTGAAATTAAGTTTTAAATCATCAATCTCATATCATATTTCAAGAGATAAACCATTTATGGGATCACCAAAACAAAAACCTATCCAGCCTCTGGTAAGGCTCCTTTCCCCACTTTTCAAGCCATCACCTGCAGCAGTTCCAGGTGTCTGTTTGCATGTGCTTTTTGTCATTATCGTTATGATGTCTGGCAAAGAGCTCCTCAGCTGACCTATTCCCAGAGGCCTTATTGTATTACAAACACCACCAAAGTTTAGGACTTGCTTTTCTCATTGCCAGAGTGGATTTATTACTGTCTACTGGAGACATCCACTAAATGGTGTCATCTGGTTCATCACCTGAAATGATCAAGGTACATGTGTTCATCAATTTGCTCTAATGAAATGCTGTCAGTCTTCTAATCTGAATGCTCACAGTCACCACTGCTGATTCATTGTACTCCAGATGTGTCACTAAAGCCAACATGTAGTGCTGGTTAACATTATTCTTGTTAGACCATTCAGTTGTTATTTAATACAGCCAGCCCTGATCGAGTCCTTTTTCACTTACAGCTGATGTCCCCCAGGACTTTATCCTTGGCCCTGCATTGTTCTATGTCTATATCATTGCACTCCATGATTATATTATTCAAATGACCAAGTGTTCCTATGTAGATGACAAACAGATTTGTTGCTCTCATGATCCCTTCTCTTTGGTCAAATCTATATTCCATACTACAGAGTTCTTCCAATACATTTCAAGAGTGGAAGCTTTTCAGTAAGTTGGTTCAGAATTATTCAAGATATAAATACATCTTGGCTTCTTTTCTGTTTTCTAAAGCTGAATTTGGTTTTCCCATTTCAATAGGAAAACCCAGCATTTAAGTCACATGGAAGGAAATCTGGAAGGTCTGATTTGTTTTTCAATCAGCACATGAAGAAAAATCTATCATGTATTTCTTTCAGTCTATCATGTATCCCTAGTAATTTAAAGCAGGACTTTAGCAGCAGTCTACATTGCTTTTTTTTTTTTCTTTCTTAGAGTGGAAATGCATAGGCTGAATAAAATTCAAATTTCTCCAAGGAGACTTCTTCTATCTTTCCTTCCTTAACAGTAAAATACATTAACACCTGCTTCAACTGCAAGTCTAAGATTTATTTCAAACTTATCATCATCAAGGCCATAGTAGAAAAAAAAAAGGGATGAAAACTACAAAAGCTCTTATATGCATGTATATAAAGGATGTACTCCTATTGATTATAATTTGATTAATGATAACTCAAAAAGTGATTGTTGCTTTTACTAAAAGCTGAAAGTTCTGAAAGATAGCAAGGCAAGAACAACTAAGGAGGTTAAGTTTATTTAGACACCTCTAATATGAGCTAAATCATATGATACTAAAGACATTGTATTTGTTAGTCACAGTCAAGAGAACAGGAAGGACAAAGCCAATAATTTTACTCAGGGAGAGCCTCAGACCTTTTTTTGTGGTTAGCATATTGCTCCTAGGAGCTCTGCAAATAAAAAATTCATTGCTGGATGCTGCATTTTAGTATTTCTCATTAATTCCTCACCATGAAATCACTAATCACTCATCTTATATTTAAGGAATATAGTTATATACAAATTGTATATTAAAGAAAGGGTTATTTTGAAATATTTGTCCAGAGAAATAGATTTCTGCTGTGTATCGAAACAGGAAGAAAAGGTGACA